ATATGTTGCATATTTGCTTGCTCACTGACCTTGAGTCTGTCGTAAAATTGGTCCTGATTATATCAAATAGACACACAGAGCAAAGACCCAACTCTATCACCACATACGAAGCATGCAAAATCATTCTTTCTTCCCATATAAGACCAATTAGGTCTATTCATAGACCATTCCATGTCATCGCCAATGCATTTAATGCCTAGTTCCAAACCACAACTCGTCAACTTTACAAGCCCATTTCAAAGCGTGACTTCTCTACTGAACATGCTGCCGGCGTTTCCGTTGGAATGAACGAGAATTCATCAAGCCAAAGGTAGGCACACTAGATGCCATTCTCTTTGGAGTCAATTCGCAAGCAAAACCCAACTTACAAAACTAACCAGAAATCATAACCGGCCTATTCCCCCGAGTAGTTTTGTGATCATCTGATATCATCTCTTATGTACCATCTTCAAAAGCACTTCTTGTCCAATTTAATAAAATGAAATGTAGCGGCTTATTTAGACATTCGAAGTCTCATCCTTAAATCGCTTGCCATAAACTATATTTGCGAGCGTTCTCAAGCGGCTCATAAATGACACCAAATCAACCGAACTTATTAAATGCTTGAGTAATTAAGACATTTTACCTGCACAATATGAATAAAGAATGAAGATAAAAATGCATGAATTTACCAGAGGATTTTCATCTCACAAACATTATTCACAATTACAAAGACACGCATAGGATTATGAGCGTGGGCAATGTTATAGGTAAGGGTGCATAGTATCTTGCAATAGGGGACGAGAAAAACCCAGAGCAGCAGAATTTTTGACAGGCAGATAGGCAGTTTATCTGGATACATGAGGATACGGGGATAAACGTGCTATCTTGAATAATTTTAGGGTAGCTTCTATTAATCAATCTAGCCTTAACAAAGAGGTTTGCCAAAAAAACCCATTAAAAAGTAGGAGCATAAATTAATTTTTATTCAAGGTTTCTGAGAGATAATCAAAAAAGCAAAATAAACTACATGTGAAGATAAACAATGGTCGCAGAAAAAGCCGTCATTTAGAGAAATAAAAAAAATTAAAATCAATAGAGAAGGCTTTGACTCTTCTCCAAGTAAGTGACGACTAAATACTGCCAAAGAAAAGTAAAAAAAAATAAAGAAAGCAGTTAACTACCAAAATATTAGAATGTGCAATAGCGGAGCAAAGTATGCCACGGCAAAAACCCCAAGTAGATTTTTCTTTCCAGGAACGTAAGTGACGCGCTCGAAGGTGACCGACAACACTTCACAATAGTTATGGTCGAAGAACAATTGAAGATCAAGCTGTAGGCAGAGGAGAAAGTTAAGAATAATCAGGGCTAGCAAGAGTCATAGCTTGATCAAAAAATTGGATAAACGCACATATGATTTGGTAGAATTCTCTCGAAAAAACATAAGTTGGAACAATTCCAAGTTTGGAAAGCCGCTATGAAATGTTTGGCACAAGTTTTCCGAAAGAAGTGCAAAAGCCTGATAAAATATATATATAATCAAATTTAGGCAGTAACAAAATTGATCCTTCAAATAAAAAAACGATATTTAAAGAGACCATGAAGCATTTTATTTTAGGATAATATAAGAACCATTTAAAAGGATGGAACTATACTAATCGGGTAAAAATACACCCTATTAAGGGTCGTCGGATTTTGCTGCTTTTATTATAAAATTAGCTTGAACATACGGTTCCTATAACCTGGAATTTGGGAAGTCATAATATGACTCGTCTGCTTACATAGTCCAAAATAACTAAGTAGTTCTTGATCGCACGAGGTGATTAGGCAGCAGACTTGTCCAGGCGCTAGAATAAGTGATCGATCTACGGTACATAATGAGGTTCATTAAATATCAAGATAGTAATTATGTAGATTCCATGAACGGGAAGGGGAAATAAGCGTAATTTAGCCAATTATTATGAAATCCCAGAATATTTAAAGCTGTAATATGCCTGAAGAGTTACAGTACATTAAGGTGTTGTTCGCCATTAATCACAATTGTGTTAAAAGGAGTTTGCTGTCCGCGACACAAAGTCATCAATATATCGACAATAATATTGAAAAATGGAAGCATAAAAGGATAATTGATTTTTTGAGTTGTATATTGAGAGGCTGCTAAGGATGCAAGTTATCCATGCTCTATGATCAATATAGCCTTGTGCTAAGGGTATCGCCTCTCATTGACGATGCCGGCGAAAAGTCTGAAACTATATCAAGTCATCGGTCCGATTTTAGAAATTATTATGAACACTGTGAAAGAGGATGCAGGATTAGATACTTTCCACAATATCTCCCTGCCGTTCCGGCCAAGTGGCAAAATCGAGGCCAAACCAAAAATGTACCAAGTTGTGTATAGAATAGTTGAAATAGAATTTAGTTAAATCAAAGATAATCACTTACACTGGGAAAGGGTGGAGAAAGAAAATAATATTTAAATGTCATCCGGCCGAATAGAGGCATCGAGAGGCGAAGAAGGATAAGGTACGCGTGAATTGGACGCTCGAGCACCGGCTGGTGACATAGCCAAGGAAAAATTAGGCTCTACAGGCAAAAGAGCAAGCCCCAAAGGGCGAGAAGCTGGGGCTACTGCAGCCACATCAGGGCTAGATTCGTGTAAAGAAGAATGCGGCAAGTCAAGAGAGGGGCCGCTTGAAGAAGACCCGCGTTCGGGTTGACGTGATTCCTCAAAATTGGAAATGGAATCAAGCCTAGGCATATTGGCTGGAGGAGATTCAAGTCTGAGTAGTGCATGAGGGGCCTGAACTGCAAGTAATGCTCGTGATGGAGCGGAAGCTGCCGAATATTGGGGATGGCGGATCCTGGAGGAATTAACTTCGAATGAGGTGATTATAGTGCAATGCGGAAATTTATGGCGCCATGTCTCAACGAAAGCAAGCAAACCACCACGAC